GGGGATCCCGAGGGGGTCCCGGGGATGGATCGGGAACCCCTCGAGGGTCCCGGGCAGAATTTGGGAATCCGGGAGGGGTCCCGGGGAGAATTTGGGAATCCCGAGAGAGTCCCGGGGGTCTCCCGGGGGTCCCGGGGATGGATGGGGAACTCCTCGGGGGTCCCGGGGAGAATTTGGGAATCCCGAGAGAGTCCCGGGGGTCTCCCGGGGGTCCCGGGGATGGATCGGGAACTCCTCGGGGGTCCCGGGGAGAATTTGGGGGATCCTGGAGGGGTCCCGGGCATGGATGAGGATCCAAATTCGGGACTCCCGGGGATGGATGAGGAACCTCTCGGTGCTCCCGGGGGTCTCCCGGGGGTCCCGGGGATGGACGGGGACCCCTCGGGGCTCCCGGGCATGGATGGGGAACCCCTCTGGGCTCTCCCGGGGGTCCCGGGGGTGGATGCGGAACCCCTCGGGGGTCTCCCGGGGGTCTCCCGGTGGTCCCGGGGATGGATGGGGAACCCCTCGGTGGTCCCGGGGATGGATGGGGAACCCCTCGGGGGTCTCCCGGTGGTCCCGGGGATGGATGGGGAACCCTTCGGTGGTCCCGGGGATGGATCGGGAACCCCTCGGTGCTCCCGGGGATGGATGAGGAACCTCCCGGGGGTCTCCCGGGGGTCCCGGGGATGGATGGGGAACCCCTCGGGGGTCCCGGGGGTCCCAGGGATGGATGGGGAACCCCTCGGTGCTCCCGGGGATGGATCTGGAGCCCCTCGGGGGTCTCCCGGGGGTCCCGGGGATGGATCGGGAACCCCTCGGTGGTCCCGGGGATGGATGGGGAACCCCTCGGGGCTCTCCCGAGGGTCCCGGGGATGGATGGGGAACCCCTCGGGGCTCTCCCGAGGGTCCCGGGGATGGATGGGGAACCCCCCGGTGCTCCCGCGGATGGATGGGGAACCCCTCGGGGCTCCCGGGGATGGATGGGGAACCCCTCGGTGCTCCCGGAGGTCTCCCGGGGGTCCCGGGGGTGGATGCAGAACCCCTCGGGGGTCTCCCGGGGGTCTCCCGGGGGTCCCGGGGATGGATGGGGAACCTCCCGGTGCTCCCGGGGCTGGATCGGGAGCCCCTCGGGGGTCCCGGGGATGGATGCAGAACCCCTCGGGGGTCTCCCGGGGGTCTCCCGGAGGTCCCGGGGGTGGATGGGGAACCCCTCGGTGTTCCCGGGGATGGATCGGGAGCCCCTCGGTGCTCCCGGGGATGGATGGGGAACCCCTCGGGGCTCCCGGGGGTCTCCCGGTGCTCCCGGGCCGGTTACCTGGGCGAGCTTGAGGCGGCGGCCGGGGGCGGCGCGGATGACGAGGGCGATGAGCGCCAGGTACGAGTACGGGGGCTTGGGGTGGCGCCGGTAGCGCTGGGGGCGGCTCGGGGACCCCCGCGAGCCCCGGGAGCCGCCGCGGGCAGCGCCGCGGGCAGCGCCGGAGCTGCCGAAGGGGTCGCGGGAGCCCCCCCGGGCCGGCTCGGGGGCCGCGGGGAGCGGCGGCGGCGGCGGCGGCATCGCGGGGGAGGCGCGGGAGGGGAAGGGTCGGGATTTATCCCGGGGGAGGGGAC